CAGGAGGTGAGTTGTTTACCTTTAGATCGAACCTTTATGCATTATAAAACTGTTAGCATGACATTTGATTCTATTGAACTGTAGTGTAGTCATGATTGATAAACCTTCAAGATATGCCACTGGATTCAATAATATTGGCACGAGCAACTGTGCTACCACACTTGGCTCCATCAGTAGATATTGGTTTGTAAGAATTGCTTTTGCTGATATATTCATGCCAATAATGGTTGTCATCCCCTTCAAATTGTTTCATTGGAGAGGGGGTGGGGGTAGGTGGGGTGTGTGTGTGGGGTTGGAGTGGGGAGGGGGGTGACAACCATTATTGGCATGAGTATAAATTAGTTCATTTGTGTTTAGCATGTTTAGTTTTGTTAATGAAAGAACTACGTGTGAGCCTACTAGATGCCACGAAAGGGGAGATGACAGAGTGTAGGTATCATTAGATCAGTTTTGTAATTTATTGTAAGGACAGCGCGGCTCAGTAACCGGAGGTTCAGTCTTTGGTGGATTTTATTCCACTTACCTTGACACGGACCACAATTGAAGATGGAGCCATAGTCTAGTTTTGAACGGATTAGTGATCTGTATAGTTCGGGGATGGTTCCCTGATCTCCCCCCAGCGTCATAGTTGAAACAACTAGTTGTAAGTCTGGGATTTAAGACATTCATTGTTCATGTGTGTCACCAAAGTTAAATGTGGTCGAAAATTATTTCCAAGAACTTTGATAGTTCTTGGTATCTGTGAGGGTTGTATTGGCTACAAAAGTGGGAACAGTTCGGTTTTAGCTTTGGAAATGTCAATCCCTTTTCCAACGGGCATTCATGGATGTTGAACCGTTCATTAATAGAGTATACAAATAGGTAAAAGCAAGGTTCAGTGAATCTGAGTGTGGATAACAGCGAATAGATACCGTGGGCATGTCACGATAACCCTAGGATCCCTACCATCAGTGTCAGGTTGTTCTAGGAACATAAATGACCATGATGATGGAGACCTACTTCAACACCAAACAGATTCTAGTACTTTGGGGGGGGGGGGTTGAGTCCCACTTCCATTTTTTGCGGAAGCCCCGGTGGATGAGTGGATAAAGCGGCTGATTTTGTGTGCTGTCGATTAGGTGCCTTACTCTGAGGGTGTGGGTTCGAATCCCGGATGGGACTCAACCCCCAAAAGTACTAGAATCTAAGTGTAACCCCTCAAAACATGTGTTACATTTGACCACTTTCTAAATGACCTAATTCATATGACGAGATGCAGTCCCGCTGCCCCTGCCGAAGAACTGCGCCGGCAATTGAGAGTAAGAGCCCACACCTCTATAATCAAGAGGAGACTGCGGGTTCGTGATCCCAGATCATGTCGTCCAATCAGGCGGTTCTTTACCACGGACAATAACAGCGACATTTGGCATGGTGCGGGATCGTAGATCATGGCCTTTGGGACAAGCTGTAGCAAATTTTTGATGATATGATGACATGTCAACCAAGTCAGCGAGCCTGACTACCCGATCCCGTTAGTCGCCTCTTACGACAAGCATGGGTTGCTGAAGACATTTCCGGATCTTCATGAGTTTTATCCCATGTGGAAATGGCCTAACTAAGCAAATCACCACGAGGTGACCCATGCAGTTGAAGTCTTTGGAGTTCAGTTCATTTATGTTGTGCGTTTCATGTGAGTGCAGGTTGGATCTCATTACCGTACGTGGGACACTGAGTGGTCAAGGTTATCACTGGGTACATCCGCAGTGCGGCACTTTGATAACAATTCCCTTGACAGTCGTCTGATATCCATCAAAGACAAGTCCAGTCCTAAACGTTCCCCATCCATCACCCATTTCCAGAATAACACAATCGAAACATTACCAAGGCCCGCAAGTAGTCCCGATATGAACACCGTCGACCATCTTTAAGACCACTTCACCCGTGAAGGTCCGGGTTAGAATTGATCTTCAGTAACCCATGCTTGTGGTAGGAGGTGACTAAAGGGATTATAGTAAGATGTGGGAGAAATGATTTAAACATCGTCCATGTATCTGTTGTTTCAGGCCCTGGCTGGATCATGTTCCGACCACACATGTGGCTGGAGGAGGAAATGTGAGACCCGAGCTCCTGCTGGCTACCGCTGTGTCTAGATACTGCCTGAGTTCCAGTTCAAAGATGCATGGACTTTTACATGTTGTTTCCGACTTCATACTGTGAATACAGAACGACTATTAGACAGTGGTCAGATAAGACATTTCATATTCGGGATTACACTTCCCTAGTAAAGTATAAATTCTGTTATAGTGGAATCTGTCAAATCCGGACTCTTTGCAATCCGGTTTTCTCCATAATCCGGACTAATCTCTGAGTCCCGGCAAAATTATTCTTAATTTATCATTAAAGCTGCTTTATAATACGGACTCTCTCAATTACGGATTACATACTAAAATAACTGCCCCGACAATCAACCATGAGAACAATGTTTTGTAATCCGGTCGCAGCTGACTAAAGTAACAGTCCCGACAATAAACTTGCAATGAGAACAATTCTTTGTAATCCGGATGTATATGTTTAAGTTGAGTCCCATCCGGATCTTCATGTTCTGGCGAAAAGTTGCCTCACTGCTTGTCTAAAGTCTCGGACTGGGGGCAAACAAAGTGCCTGATAGTCTTGTCCAGTCGTTCCTGTATTCCAAGCTAAAGCCACCTGTGAAGATCCGGGTTAGAAATGATCTTCAGTAACCCATGCTTGTCATAAGAGGCGACTAACGGGATCGGGTGGTCAGGCTCGCTGACTTGTTTGACACATGCCATCGTATCCCAATTGCGCAAATCGATGCTCATGCTGTTGATCACAGGATTGTCTGGTCCCGACTCGGTTAATTACAGACCGCTGCCATATAGCTGGGATACTGCCGTGTGCGGCGTGAAATAACAAACCAACCTGCCTACACTACCCCTATGTATAGCAAATGGGTCTACACTACCCCTATGTATAGCAAATGGGTCTGTGTCTTGTTACCAGGTATGTTACGTGTCAGTGACATTGTTCAGATTAAAATAAGACAAGATGAATGGCCTACTATTTTGATATTTTCAATAGCATCTTTAAAATACTTCATTTGAGCCGCAATTACATTGCTTCATTTGTATAACTCTCTGAGTTCTGCTTATAAGTTGTTTTGTATACTGTGTCAGTGCCATTTTGACTCGGTTTAGATTTGGTCTTCAGTAACCCATGCTTGTCGTAAAAGGCGACTAACGGGTTCGGATGGTCAGGCTCGCTGACTTGGTTCACACCATGTTATCGTAACCCAGTTGCGTAGATGGATGCTCATGCTGTTGATCACTGGATTGTCTGGTGCTGACTCGATTATTTACAAACCGCCGCCATATGAATTAGTAGGAATGTCCCTGAGTGTGCCGTTAAACAACAGCCCAAATCTAAAGCACACACCTTTCGTTTTAGTCGTTACCTTGTTTCCTGACTTGAGTACAATTGCCACAAGGTATTGAACCCGTGTTACATCTAACGTCGAAGCTGAGCAATATCTTCACCTCTACTTTGACAGTTTAACCTAATCTTAGACGGCAAGGATTTCTGGAAAGTAATAGATGTTTTATATGTATCGAGCATGTCCTATTGTTTTCTTTTAATAATAAACTTCTTCCCTATCACATGTTTAATTACTCAATCTAAAATATTCACAGGGTGTTTGACAAACCCAGATACATTGTGTTATTGTATTTATACAATCGTATAGTTTGCCTTGTAAACACAAAGTCTGCATTGTGTAATTTTACCTTTTTAAATATTTTACTTAGCCTTTTGATGTATCATAGGCCTTTGGGCTGGATGCCTGTATGGTATAATATCAAACTATATATTTCCATTACCTGTATACACAACACCCGTGACATCTAATTAAGTTAATCTTCTTTGTCTTCGTTATTCTAGAAATATATAAGACTGATTTCGTTGGAAACTGATACTGGTGAGCTCAGAATGGATTATGTTTGTTTGTTTAACGCCATATTGAGTAATATCTGGACCAGACAATCCAGTGATCAACAGCATGAACATCCGTCTAAGTGATCAGGATACGATGACATGTGTCAACCAAGTCAGCAAGCCTGACCACCTAGTCCTGTCAGTGACATCTTGTTTAACGCCACATTGAGTAATATCTGGACCAGACAATCCAGTGATCAACAGCATGAGCATCCGTCTAAGTGATCAGGGTACGATGACATGTGTCAACCAAGTCAGCAAGCCTGACCACCTAGTCCTGTCAGTGGCATCTTACAACAAGCATGTGTTGTTGAAGGCTAATTCTAAGACAGCCCTTCACGGGTGACCTGGGAGTGGATTAATATCACACTTGAGGATGTGGAATAACAACTCAAATACAACTTGTCCATGCTACAAACAAAATATTTATTTCGGCTTTGACATGCATTTCATACTGCAGCGAGGGGCGTATACAAGGATCATTATATACGATACATGATTATATAAGAACGTATCCACAGTCTCGAATGTTCAGCGTTTCTTCGAGTAATTATACCCCAGAAAGTCTGCTGGTTTGGGATGTATTTTTATGTATTGTTTACATTTTAGGATTTGATGCAGTCTCGATTTTCGTCTTAGATAGGAAACTTTCACACTGAAAAGAGGCGTATGTGCTGTTTGATCTGACCCATATATTATCACACACTAGTTTTTTAGAACAACCTGTGATAATCAGTAATGTTACTGTCCTTGATGGGAACATTGTTATATAAATGGGGTTTCTTTTATTACTATATAAAGTCACTATATGACTGAAATACGGCCTACTTTAAACTCACTCACTCACTCACTCGAGACAGCCATGTTACCACTGTGTCCGGCTTCCTGGTCACTGTTTAGTTGCACAAGAGTGAGTGAGTGAATTTGCCTTTACGCCGCTTTCAGCAACATTGCAGCAACATCACGGCTGGGGACACTAGGAATGGGCTTCACACACATTGTACCCATGTTGGGAATCGAACTCGGGTCTTCGGCGTGACGAGCAGACGCTTTAACCGCTAGGCCACCCCAGCGACCCTAGCTGCACAAGCACTAATGCATTTGTGTTAACCGATTAGGGATAATATACGAGATCAGAATAATACCTGTTGATCTGCGTTGCTCCTCGACCATTATAACAAGACCAAACAACCCGGGTCCTGCGTCACTTCCAGCAGGGTCGGTGTGGTGGCCTAGTGGTTAAAGCGTTCGCTCGTCACGCCGAAGACGTTCGATTCAACACATAGGTGCAATGTGTGATGTCTATTTCTGGTGTCCCTAACCGTGATATTGCTTGAATATTGCTCAAAGCATCGTAAAACTAATATCACTCTTTGTGAGCTGATCAACGTAGGGATATAGATATTTCTTTCGACCTAAGATTTACAGCGATTCATACGTTTTAAGGATTCCCTGTACGCAATCAGGAAGAAAGAATTACAGCAGATATTGTGAGATGACACATTGTTTTGTTCTTCCTTAAATTCTCGTTTCATGAGATAAAAAAACCCGCTGAGCATTCATTTCTGTGGTGGCATCCGGAGGGGTTCTTGTTACAGTTTGACAAATCTTCTCCACGGGAGAGGGATCTCTTGAAAAGAGAGAGTCTCATGTTTTTCCGTGGCCTGAAAAGAACAAACAGTAGCATTATAGACCCATCAGGGCTGGAATCGTTGGCTGGTTGTTGTTTAACCCTTATTCAGCAGTATTTCAGCTATATGTCGGCGGTTTGTAAATAATCTAGTCTGGACCGGACAAACCAGTGATCAACAGCATGAGCATCGATCTGGGCAATTTGCAGACGATGGCATGTGTCAACCAAGTCAGCGGGCCTGACCACCCGATCCCGTTAGTCGCCTCTTACGACAAGCATGGGTTACTGAAGACCAACTCTAACCCGGATCACCACGGGTAATCTCAGCAGCATTGGGTTAGTGTGTTGTACGTTGAATACATTGCTGCTGTTACTTTGTTTTCCAAGAACATTTCTGTATGTAGCTTTAAGCTTTAAGTGAGTGAGTTAAAGATTAACGTCATATCTGCTTTATTTCAGTCATAAAGCGACCGGGTGGGATGTAATGATTTGACATTTTACATAGCTGAAATAGTGCTGACGTGACTAGCACACTGTATACGTATAACCAGCTCTCCCTTCCTAAACCATCAAATATGCTGAGCAGAAAAAGGTTGGAAAATATAGAAATTACAAATTAGAATATAAGCAGTTGGTTTGCACTAAGATACAGCTTTTAAAATAACATCACCTACCTCTGAACACTTTGGGCAGTAATCGGGGACATCAAAGACAGAGTCCTCGAAGTCTGAACCGAAGGTTGTATAGCCAACTGTCTCCAGGAAGTAGTCTGAATAATGATGCACAGTATGCTAGTTTTAAACAAACATGCTCTGGTCGCATAACTATTCCTTCATAATGCGTTATTGCGAGGTGGCATGGGTTTAAACACAACCAAGTGAGTGAGTTTAGTTTTATGCTGCACTCAGCAATATTCAAGCTATAGGACAGCAGTCTGTAAATCCAGTGATCAACAGCATGAACATCGATCCACGCTATTGGGATACGATGACATGTGTCAACCAAGTCAGATCTGCACGGTTTTTGCGTTCTTCTTTTGATTTCCTCTGCATGACAGTGTCGTGCAGCCCTACAGACATGTCATATTTTACAAGTGTTTACACGGTAACATTTCTCTACTTCAAGAACGTGTGGCTCATCTCGTTCAATCCAAAATAGTGCATTTGTCATGAATCTTACTGAATAAACATTCTCAGTATATACGGGGCGATTCTTTATTTGGAGGGGCGGTGGGTTTGGCTAGTGAGTGAGTGAGTGAGTTTGGTTTTACGCCGCTTTTAGCAATATTCCAGCAATATCACGGCGGGGGACACCACAAATGAGCTTCACACATTGTAACCATGTGGGGAATTGAACCCGGGTCTTCGGCGTGACGCACCAACGCTTTAACCACTAGGCTAGGTAGGCTCATGGTTCAAACGTCCGATCGTTATGCTGAAGACCACGGTTTGATTCCCATATGGGCTCAATGACTACAATTTCTGGTGTGTCCCCGCCGTGACATTGCTGGAATATCGATAAAATGGCGTAAAACCATATTCCCTCACTCCTTCTCTGAAGAGTGTAATTATAAATAATTATGGAAATATCGTAGAACCTGACAAAGAAATAAATCAACTAAGAATTCACGAAAGACTAATACTAGGCAGGAAGGTGTAGGAACGTACCCACCTTCGATGGTTGCTACTCACTTTCGTCTTTACCAACTGTGTATGCTTGTACAGGAATGCACTCTTTCGAGACTTGAACGACTTCTACAACTCCGCTTTTCTCTGCTTTGTAAGCTGTTGATGACAGGGTGTTACTTCCGAATCCAAGAACATATTCATACACTTTTGTGAATTGATCTGAAAAAGAAATGACTCAATAACTCTCATGCTCCTTGTTCCAGAAATGTACTTATTTGTTTGTTGTTTCAACACAGCAAATATTCCAGCTATGGTTTGTAAATAATCAGCGTTGGGCCAGCACTCCTGTGATTGAGCATAAATCTATGCAATTGAGATATGATGATCTGTTTCGTTGCTTCGATCTTGAGAGGGTACGTAAGTCCCGGAAAATTCAAAGTATATTAAACTTTCCAGATTCTTTAAACGTAGTATTTTTGTTGTTTTAATTTATGGCTAAATTCCACTACAATCGCCAGCGGCTGAAGGAAGGGTGTAAATCCAGCTAGGGTCCATGCAGGTAGCAAAAGTACTGTAAGTCCCCATGGTCCCTAGCATGGTGATCTACCTTCAGTTGTTGGCGATCAAAAGGCCATTTTTACATTGTATTGTTCGAAAATAGTTATCTGCTTGTACAGATATATGATAACTAGTTTTAACTCGTTTTGTGATAATCTAGTAATTTTACTGTACATCTTTGAAGGGTTTTTTATATATTGTATGTATGTGTAATGAATTTAGGAATAGTTTTAGTCACGATATGGGTGAAATATTGCCGATGTGACTTTAAACCTTAACTCACTCACTCACTAACTCGTTGCTTCGAGGATTATCCACAAAACGTTGGTAAGTTGTGCAAGTTTATGTGGCGAAGGCTCACGCCTACCGAGCTCATCCAACCGATGCTGTAACGGGATCTAAACCAGAGATCTGGGTTCAGTCATATGATGGTGTTCTGGAAATAGTCGAGTCTTGACCAGACAAACAGGTGATCAACAGCTTGAGCATAGATCTTGGAATACCATGACATGTGTCAACCAAGTCAGCCAGTCTGACCAGCCGATTCCGTTAGTCGCCTCTTACGACAAACATGGGTTGCTGAAGACCAGGTCCAACCCGGAATCGATCAACAGTATAGGTTGATGCTCAGGATGATCGATGTTCACTGGATTGTCTGGTCCAGATTCGATTGTTTACACACCGCCGCCATATAGCAGGAATATTGCTGATAGCGGCGTAAAACAACCACCCACCAACATTAACAAGACAATGCAGGACACTAACCTGTCACACAGAACTTCTCAAATGGATCGGTAAACGTTTCGACTGTGCATGTTTTCTTCTTGAGATCGATCTTATAACGCCGATTCTGAAACACGAGATCTTCAGGTTTTACATTAGCCGGAGGTTTCAGATGAAATATTCCCGTGCTTCAAATATTCAAACATTCAATTCACCCGGAAACTGGCCAATGCATGATGTTTATCGACATTGTAAACACAAAAGTAAACCGAAAGGTCCACACGCGTTTTTCTGTCTGCACTCATTGACATAGAGTACGGGTACAGCATAGAAGTGTCATCAGCCGGACGTTTCGGCTGGTTCCCATGGTAACATCTGGAACTGCTCATTTGGAACGTCATTCTGACTTTGCGTCAGAATATGATTTGAATGACGTCACCTGCTGACGACGCAACAATACAATTGTGTGCAATATTTGTACGTATTAATACCCAGCTAACACTCTTGCGATTTCAGAGAATCGAATACCATTCGATTTTGTTTTTCAACCAATAAGATCACAGAACACAGTGACGTTTGGTTTATAATAAATCATAAAGTTGTGATAAACAATAAAGCGAACAGTGGCATTAAAATGGTGATCCAGCTGGGACAGTTTCGGCTTATAAAGTTCCAACCAAGCCAGCGAGCCAGACCACCCGATCCCGTTAGTCGCCACTTACGACAAGCATGGGTTACTGAAGACTAATTCTAACCAAGTCGACGGCAAACCTACCATATCATGATGTGTCAACCAAGTCAGCGAGCCAGACCACCCGATCCCGTTAGTCGCCACTTACGACAAGCATGGGTTGCTGAAGACTAATTCTAACCAAGTCGACGGCAAACCTACCATATCATGATGTGTCAACCAAGTCAGCGAGCCAGACCACCCGATCCCGTTAGTCGCCTCTTACGACAAGCATGGGTTGCTGAAGACTAATTCTAACCAAGTCGACGGCAAACCTACCATACCATGATGTGTCAACCAAGTCAGCGAGCCAGACCACCCGATCCCGTTAGTCGCCTCTTACGACAAGCATGGGTTACTGAAGACTAATTCTAACCAAGTCGACGGCAAACCTACCATATCATGATGTGTCAACCAAGTCAGCGAGCCAGACCATCCGATCCCGTTAGTCGGCTCTTACGACAAGCATGGGTTGCTGAAGACTAATTCTAACCAAGTCGACGGCAAACCTACCATACCATGATGTGTCAACCAAGTCAGCCTGCCAGACCACCCGATCCCGTTAGTCGGCTCTTACGACAAGCATGGGTTGCTGAAGACTAATTCTAACCAAGTCGACGGCAAACCTACCATATCATGATGTGTCAACCAAGTCAGCCTGCCAGACCACCCGATCCCGTTAGTCGCCTCTTACGACAAGCATGGGTTGCTGAAGACTAATTCTAACCAAGTCGACGGCAAACCTACCATATCATGATGTGTCAACCAAGTCAGCGAGCCAGACCACCCGATCCCGTTAGTCGGCTCTTACGACAAGCATGGGTTGCTGAAGACTAATTCTAACCAAGTCGACGGCAAACCTACCATACCATGATGTGTCAACCAAGTCAGCCTGCCAGACCACCCGATCCCGTTAGTCGGCTCTTACGACAAGCATGGGTTGCTGAAGACTAATTCTAACCAAGTCGACGGCAAACCTACCATATCATGATGTGTCAACCAAGTCAGCGAGCCAGACCACCCGATCCCGTTAGTCGCCTCTTACGACAAGCATGGGTTGCTGAAGACTAATTCTAACCAAGTCGACGGCAAACCTACCATATCATGATTTGTCAACCAAGTCAGCGAGCCAGACCACCCGATCCCGTTAGTCGCCTCTTACGACAAGCATGGGTTGCTGAAGACCAATGATTAATCGGATCTTAAAAAGAGCGAAACACAATGAAAGGCAAGGTGAACGTTACCGCCTTGTGGTCGGATATGGTTTTAGATTCCCCTGCGGTGTCGTCGAGGCTGTAGTTGCCCACAGTAACCGACCTTTCACTGACGGAATCAAAGTATTCTTCAGAATTCCCCTGAAACAGTAAATAACAGGTATTCATACATACATGTACTCATAATTTAGCGGGGCTTCCAGAACCCACATATGTTAAAAAGAGAAACTAATAGAGTAGTTGGTCAGTGGTTGGTACCGTCTCATCGCTACCCACATGTATAGATGACGGTCTTGTCAAACATCGCTACCCACATGTATGGATGACGGTCTTGCCAAACATCGTTACCCACATGTATGGATGGCGGTCTTGTCAAACATCGCTACCCACATTTATGGATGATGGTCTTGTCAAACATCGCTACCCACATGTATGGATGACGGTCTTGTCAAACATCGTTACCCATGTGCATGGATGACGGCTTGGTCAAACATCGCAACCCACATTTATGGATGATGGTCTTGCCAAACATCGCTACCCACATGTATGTATGATGGTCTTGTCAAACATCACTACCCACACGTATGGAGGATGGTCTTGTCAAACATCGTTACCCACGTGCGTGGATGACGGCCTTGTCAAACATCATTACCCACATGTATGGATGACGGTATTGCCAAACATCGTTACCCACATGTATGGATGATGGTCTTCTCAAACATCGTTACCCACACGTATGGAGGATGGTCTTGTCAAACATTGCTACCCACACGTATGGATGACGGTCTTGACAAACATCGCTACCCACATGTATGGAGGATGGTCTTGTCAAACATCGCTACCCACACGTATGGACGATAGTCTTGTCAAACACAGTGTGGCCAATAAACTTGGTATTGACACTTTGTTGGTGTAAATGTCCTCTCAGCAATGTTCCAGCTGTTTGGTGGCAGTGGAAGCGTGAATACGGACCAGGCTATCCACTGATTGCAATGAAGTACTGTCAATATATGTGCAATTGATGAGAGAAAGAGAATTCTTACGTCATCGGAGATGGGAACATTCACCCCCTCTATTGTTTTCATGAGAAGGCCAGCGGTGAATTTGTGGGCGAACCACTTATCAGGAGCACAGCAGATATTTGCCGCTCCCACACACGTGGACAGCACGGACAGCAGGACTATGTACCCCAACATCATTCCAGGTGATCGTCAGATGTGTGGTGTGAGCCGAGGTTCTCTTCCTTATAAGCAATACCACCTACTGAGGGACGTCTCAAGCGTTCGTTTTCTGTTTTGTTATTATGCTAGATTGCTGCTAGATTCAGACTTATAAAGCCTTCTTTCTATTTATCGTAACGTATTTCTCAGCCATGTGTTTTCATTTTGCAGATTACATTTTACTTTCGTTTTGATAAATGTTATTCAACAAAATCTCTGAATTTTTTCTCAAATTTCCCCCCGAGTTTATCAAGTTAAAAGGAAACTGTTATGTTGTCTCGTTTTAATTTATAATTTAATGAAACGGTTATAATTGATTCACCTTTTCCAGTAAAAACCATTTATGACAAAGTGTATTTTTACGGTTGGATTGTGAATTACTGACATCACACAGTTTGCCACGTTCATTTAATATAACCTCTATACAGCTGCGATCAATTGTAATATGCACCGATTTTAATAAATGTATATCACTGAATGCCTCTAACAATTTCAGATTAATAGTTATTTTTTTAAAAGAACCGTACACGGGAACATGAACACTTTATACGTTAAGGCTTGCTTGTGGTAACCATATGATTTGTGAAAACAGAAGAGTTTAGGACCAATATCTTAGTGGAAACTAAAAGGGACAGAAACAGATCTCAGACGTTTTCATTCTTAATGAAACCTGTGAGGAAGGGTGTGTCGATATTGTACTTTAACATCTGAATAATAAAAACGAATGAAGGGAGGAGAGCGAGCATACTTCTAGGTTCCCGTGAACCCATGCCACGTCTGTCGTCAGGTTCGATGACTTGGTTCGCCCGTCATCGTACCCGTATCCCAGTTACATAGATCGATGCTTATGATGTTGATCACTGGATTATCTGGTCCAGACACGATTATTTACAGACCGCCGGCTTGCATCCGGATTATTGCTGAGTGGGACGTAAAAGTTCCGTGCACCTCCCTCCATCTTAATTTGGCCATTTTCGTCTCGGACAAACAAACAAATTATGAAAAAATGATACAATGCATGCATAAATCACTTCTTATTAGTGTAACAGAAGTACCCTCTGCGGGGAACACCGGAAGCTCTTCTGTTCAACCCCCTTGATAAGACATACAGAAAGACGCTAACGGATGATACTTGCTATTGCCTTGCATTGTGCTCGGCAAGATTGTTGTGAACATTGTCTGTAAGGTACCTGAGATAATGTGTGAATGGTATGTCGTTGTTAGTGAATCGATGTCTGAGAGACTCTGTGTTATACATGTGACTGTTGATAGATTGTTGTGAACATTGTCTGTAAGGTACATGAGATAATGTTGTGGTCTGTAGTTGTTAGTGAATCGATGTCTGAGAGACTCTGTGTTATACATGTGACTGTTGATAGATTGTTGTGAACATTGTCTGTAAGGTACCTGAGATAATGTGTGAATGGTATGTCGTTGTTAGTGAATCGATGTCTGAGAGACTCTGTGTTATGCATGTGACTGTTGATAGATAATTGTGAAGCATTGTCTGTTAGGTACATGAGATACTTTTGATGTTAGTGAATCGATGTCTGAGAGACTCTGTGTTATGCATGTGACTGTTGATAGATTGTTGTAACCATTGGTTAGGTACCTGATAATGTCATATATACTATTCACACTTTGCCATGGATCAAATCATTGATTCAACAGAAAAGTATGATGGGGGGTCTAATTTGGTTTAAATATCTAAGCTTATTGTAAGTATGGATCCTAGGTTTCAGTATGTCATTTCATCTTGTGGATCCCATACCTGCTATTGACAGATGCTGTGCACTTGTAAATGACTCGTTCCATGATTTGCAAAATGGTTGATTGGTGCCATGAAAACCATTTTTATGGTTACTCATGTATCAAGAGCATAAGGTTTGATTAAACTGGTTGTTCGCCTAAAGTAGGGTTACTATATTATTATTTATCCAGTTTTGAATGGATACAATTTCAAATTATAAATCTATGTTTAAGTAAAATTGGGAAATTTTGTGATTCTTAGCAAAGTGTGAGTAGTATATACTCTATATAATTTATACAAATGTTACGTGATGGTGAAATATGAGGCCTAGGATTTGTCCTGCTCTTCTCCCTTCACAGTCCACGAGGCATTCGTAACGTTACGACCTGTTGTAACTCCATAGTTTGTCATAGGCTTACGAGTGTCGTAGGGCTACGAACGTTTTGTGGCTTGGAAGCCAGGAATCTTGAAGGGTTTGTATTTACGACAAAACATGAATTCAGTTTGCCTGGGATTTCGAAATCTTGAATCTGTTCAAGTGTTCATAACTTCAGTGGAACTTTTAATTTCCATGTTCATTTGCCGCCTAGGGGGACTCCATGACCTTTAATGAAATGTGTTTGTTTTTTTCTGAAACCACACTGGATGTCAATGAGAACGTTATCGATCCCCAGGTACAAGCCGATTGTTGTCACCATGCGGCTCAAACTGGTTGGACATATTTGATACGTGTCAGGTCACAGCAGCAGTAGCAGCAGCAGCAGTAGTAGTGGTCGTAGTAGTAGTAGTAGTAGTTGTAGTAGTAGTAGTAGTAGTAGTAGTAGTAGTAGTGGTAGTAGTAGTAGTAGTCGTAGTAGTAGTAGTAATAGTAGTAGTAGTGGTCGTAGTAGTAGTAGTAGTAGTAGTAGTAGTAGTAGTAGTGGTCGTAGTAGTAGTAGTAGTAGTAGTAGTAGTAGTAGCAGTAGTAGTAGTAGTAGTAGTAGTAGTAGTAGTAGCAGCAGCAGTAGTAGTAGTAGTAGCAGCAGCAGTAGTAGTAGTAGTAGTAGCAGTAGCAGTAGTAGTAGTAGTAGTCGCAGCAGTAGCCGTGATAGTAGTAGTCGTAGTAGTAGTAGTAGTAGTAGTAGTAGTAGTAGTAGTAGTAGTAGCAGCAGCAGTAGTAGTAGCAGTATTAGCAGCAGCAGCAGTAGTAGTAGTAGCCATAGTAGTAGTCGTAGTAGTATTTGCAGTAGTAGCAGCAGCAGCAGTAGTAGTAGTCGTAGTAGTAGTAGTAGTAGTAGTAGTAGTTTTCACACTTCACGTCCTTCCTGCAACCAGCACTTACTTATCAGCACGGAAGGACGAGGATCCATGTCCATATATTTGGTTGATGTACCACCGGAATGGATCGGGGACATACGCCTCCATTTAAAGGATGCAATAGCCAGCGTTGGTAGATTGAGGGATGGTTCAGGCAAATTTGAAGAGATAGGTGTTAGCGGATTGAACCACCATGTCCCTCTTGACAGCTGCGACTAATTGCTGTTCAAGTTCTCCTATTGTCTTCAATGACTCTGTTACTGAGAGTAACCTTCTACCCTTCCTTCTAGACGGAGAGGTAGGCTAGTAGTTAAAGCGTTCGTTCGTCATGCTGAAGACTCGGGTTCAATTCCCCACATGGGTTCAATGTGTGAAGCCCATTTCTGGTATCCCGCCGTGATATTGCTGGAATATTGCTAAAAGTGGCGTAAAACTAAACTCACGTTTGCGGGGTCAAATAAGAACAAAAAGCGTCCAGGAATGGTTCTAGTTTATACAGCTTTGACGCGCTTCATGTACTACAGCAAGGAACAAACGGACAGATGATCAACTATACTCTTTAAAAAAGTAGGGGAATTTCATTTTTAACTTACGATTGAAACAATTCGGAAATATATCGGAGTCCATCAATGTTGATATGGTAATGATGAATGTCTTGAGAGTACACCAACACTAGCACTTCCTTATGCAAGATGACAAGATGACAAGATGACAAGATGACTGTCGCAATGAATGGTCTACAGTGATTTATCGACCTTCTAGAGTACCTCAAAATATCAAATCACACCCTATGTACGTGCATTGGGCTACTGCGTTCTGCACGTGCATTAGTAGGGCGGATAACAAACCAAAATAGGCCGAATCGTACACTTTGTGATACAAGCACCAAAATTGGCATGATCGTTCACCATGGGCTCCCTGTTCAGAAAATAACGTTGGCCAATCAAAAATCCAAGATGGCCGCCATAATATTTTTCTTTTAACTATCATTTCTGGCAGATGTTTTTCATCCAGATGTCTAATTCCACTTTAGTTTAGCTTACAGAACCGTGTTTTAATGGAAAAAAAGACAAATAATAAATTATATGGTTGGTTTTATCTGAATAGGGTAAGATCAATTTACGATTTTGTCATTTTTTTCATAACTCCTGTCCATATTAAATGTTCGTGGTCCCTAAAGGTTTACACCCCATGCATTCGTTTAGGGGTGGTGATATAGAGAAATGGTGGTGCTTTCATAAGACGTCTGTTTTTGAAAAGTTTGTCAAGGCTTATACTTCCTATCCAAATTTAAAGTTCAGATTCCCCTACTTTTTTTTAAGAGTATATATGGGGAATTACCAGCAGAGTACACATTTCCCCATATCGGTTATGTGCCTTACAAACGTGACTGGTTCAACTTCTCAATGGAGGCCTTGTAAAGGAGAACTTCAAAGAAGTTCATTGCCTTCTGTTCCTGAAATAGATCACAACAAACATTATTGGGTCAATGACTCATTCTCATTTATTGAGAACACATGAATATATCCCGTCTTCTAGTAAAATGAAGAGCCAGTGTCTCTGGAAGATTGGCTATTCTTCACTCTGCCCTTTAATCCGTTTTGTGCATTGTTAAGACACATATTTCATTTGGTGGAACTTCCTATTTTAGTTATATTGACTTAAAATTGTTCAAACCGTACCGTCGGTGGAATGACTGTAGGGCAGATCGATGGGATATCGAATATGGAATCATCATAGTCCATGGTGATTGATCCGAACGTCTCTGAGTCGAGAAACTTTTCTGTCAACAAAACCAATGAAAAAGGTTGATGTAAAACCAACGGGAAAGGATTGCTTTGTAATTTTTCAAAACTCATAATTCAAATACTACTGCTTTCGAAAGCCAATACCTGTTTTGGGTAATGTTATCGTAAAAGCAGATTCGTCACCGTTATTTCGAGTTGTTGCCCGAACATTAAAACTGGGTACTTGATACGGACAAGCCTGATGATGGGTAACATTTTTATATATTTCGTGGGTGCGGCGTTTCGGTACTATTATCAATCAGTAATGTAATACGAGGTAGAAGAGATGTACATATACCGAATGTAATAAAGAAAACATATGCAGAGAAGTATTTTTTTATGGATAGACAACTTCTTCTAGCAAAAAACATGGGACGTTTTCGTGTAGTAGCTAACACCGTTATCAAGCTTCCTATTATCGAGGGAAAAACAAAACAAAAGCGCCTGTGAGCAGCCTAGCTGGAAATCGGCGCTATATAAATAGATTATAATAAACTTTATTAGAAAAACTTGCGATGATCCGCGTCAGAATTAGTCTAAAGAGGCGACTATTAGGATTGATGTCACTGTATCCAATTTGCTTTGACCGTTACTTTCGTTTTGGTCGTTACTATGTAATGAACAGTGTGCTACTTTTCGTGTTCAAGTTTGCGAATGATCTGCTGATGATAATCGCCTATATCGCCGTAAAGCCACTCACTCACTGGAATCACTCACTAAAGGCAACCCACCCAAACCCACTCACTCCACCACTCACTCACTCACTCACTCACTCCACCCACCCACTCACTCACTCACTCACTCCACTCACCCACCCACCCACCCTCACCCACAAACCCCCTCACTCACCACCACTCACTCCACCCACCCATCCTCACTCACCTCACTCACCCACTCACCCACTCACCTCACTCACTCACTCACTCACTCACTCACTCCACTCACCCACCCACTCACGTCATCACTCACAACACTCACCCACCTCCTCGTCAACACCCACCCTTGTCAGACCATTCCTGTCACGTTGCAGAGGAATACATCCCTCGTTGACGATGTACCATATGCCTCTTTGGTACTTGTCATCCTTGAGTGTATCTTCATCATAATAAGCAGTGGCTTTAAGGGAGTTATCACCAAACCCCAGTTTCACCTGGAAACCGGGAGTAGCACTATCTGAAATACAACTTATAGCATTGAGATGGACAAGACAAATTTATGACATCAACGCTAGATAAAAAAGATCTACTTGATTCAATTTAAACAATTTTAGAAATTATATTTAACAATCTATACGATAAAGGAAAGTTAACATTATCCGGGCCCAGGGCCATACTTAACTATCTCTTTATATGAAAGGAGGCTAAAACAGCTTAGATAACTATCGCGGTATGTATATTAAGTGTTTGTTGAAATGTTGACACAAATATTCTCAATAATAGATTGGTATTCTGGGCAAGCTGTTTTCATAAGGTAGAAGTAAAATAGGCTGGATTTAGAGTAGGTTATTCAATAATTGACAATATATTTTATATTCTGGAGTGTAATACATATCAAAGAAGGGTGGAACATTTTAGGCTTATGATTCATTACATAAGCTTGTGGTGTTCGTACAAAGGCGGTGTTCGTACAAAGGCGGTGTTCGTACAAAGGTGGTGTTCGTACAAAGGTGGTGTTCGTACAAAGGCGGTGTTCGTACAAAGGTGGTGTTCGTACAAAGGTGGATCTTGTGTTAAAGTCGGAAAGTGTGAAACCGTGTCTACGAAAATCCAGTAATTTTAATACAGAGGACTGTGATTGTCCAATTAGCGTCAGGCAAGGTTGAGTTCTCTTTGTTGTAACACAACTCGCGGCAATATTCCAGCGATATGGTGTTTCAATAATCGAGCCTTGAAAAGACAATCAAGTGATCTACGCAGCTAGAATACAATGACATGTGCCAACCAGTCAGACCACTCTGACCACCCAGACCCGTTATTCGCCTCTTACAACAAGTATGGGTTGCTGAAGACCAATTCTAACCCAGGTCTAACGGATACGCAATTGTTTTGTAAACTGACTTTAATATTAATACCAGGATGGTGGTTGGCAATACCGTAATCAGTTGGGCTTCACCTAGAAATTCTACAATTCGTAACGATTACCATGCGCAACTCCAATAATAGCTGTAAACACTAGCGTCTTCTTAGTATACTGAAACATAAAATAAAGTAGACCACATGTGCGTACTTTATTTTGAATGTCAGTATATATATGTATCTTACTTTGGGTCCCTAGGACCCGGGTTAAAATTGGTCTCCAGTAACCCATGCTTGTCGTAAGAGGCGACTAACGGGATTGGGTGGTCAGGCCCGCTTGACACATGTCATCGTAACCCATTTTGATCGATGCTCATGTTGTTGATCACTGGATTGTCTGGTGCTGACTCGATTATTTAGCGACCGCCGCCATATATATTAGTTGGAGTGTGGCGTTAAACAACAAACCAGATCTAAACCTAGTTGCGTAGATCGATGTTCATGCTGTTGATCACTGGATTGTGTGGTCCAGACTCGATTATTTTTTATTTACTATTTATATATTGCTGTAGTGTAGTATATTGCTGAGTGTTGCGTTAAACAAAAAACAGCCAACTAATAGAGTTCGGCACGTACATACCTGGAATACAAAATGTGTGAACTGGGTCGGGGTTGTTTTCTACAGAACATCTGTTTCTGTCTCTGTCGATGGTGTACTTTAACATCTGAATGAAAAATGCATTAACGCATGAGTGCATACATACTTCATGTTCCGGTGAAAGTCCAGATTAAACTTGAACCCATGCCACGTTTGTCGCCAGACTTGCTGACGTATTTGACACGTCGTTGTATCCCATTTACGGAAAAGAAATTTCTGAAGAGATCCGTTGGGGAATTAACAGTTCGTTATATCCGTCAGTTCGATAGGTTATAGAACGAAGATCAGAATTGTTCGAATCTTCAACAATATTCAAACCTAATTTGCTAAAACATCCGGGTTGGAATTCGTCTTCAGTAACACATGCTTGTCGTAAGAGGCAACTAACGGGATCGGGTGGTCTCGCTGACCAGACTCGCTGACTTGGTTGACACATGCCATCGTATCCCAGTTGCTTAGATCGATGCTCATGATGTTGATCACTGGATTGTCTGGTCCAGACTCGATTACTTACAGACCGCCACCATGGTACAATGTGTGAATCCCATTTCTGGTGTCCCCCGCCGTGATTTTGCTGGAATATTGCTGAAAGCGGCGTAAAACTAAACACCCCCCACACACGTGAGCACACCAGATTTGACCAAGAGTTCGAAGAATGACCCATCTCTTATTTATCTATTTATTTCGCCATATCTCGAGTCATGTGCCCGTAAAAATCCGGATTAGAACCAGTGTTCAGCAACCCATGCTTGTCGTAAGACGCGATTGACGGGATCAGGAGGTCAGGCTCGCTGACACGGTTGACACGTACCATCGTATCCCAGTTGCTTAGATCAATGTTCATAGAGCTGATTTCTGGATTGTCTGATGCTCATGATGTTGATCACTGGATTGTCTGGTCCAGACGCGATAATTTACAGACCATGTGGGTTTGTTTCATAAGAAAGTCTCAGTTCTACGGAAGCGTAGTAGGGCCACGGTGAACATTTTTGGGGGGGTCACTATCTCCTACGTAGGACTTACTATCTCCTTCGTAGGACTTAGTATCACCTACGTAGGACTTAGTATCACCTACGTAGGACATATTATGTCCTTATAGGAGATATTAAGTCCTACGTAAGAGATACTAAGTCTCCGATCATAGGACTTAGGAGGTACTAAGTCCAACGTAGGACTTAGTATCTCCTACGTAGGACTTAGTATCTCCTACGTAGAACTTAGTATGTCCTACGTAGGAGATATTAAGTCCTACGTAAGAGATACTAAGTCCTACGTAGGAGATACTAAGTCCTACGTAGGATACTTAGTCCTACGTAGGAGATACTAAGTCCTACGTAGGAGATAGTGACCCCCCAAATATTTTCACAGTGGCCCTACTACGCTTCCGCACAGTTCAAGTCCATATTGTCTGTTTTTCCAATTTTGTTTTATTTTTCAGACTGATTCTGAACAGTTTCGTTAAAACATGTTAAATTCACAAAGTGAAAAGGATCGGGAAACAAATTCTTACAACTCTTAAAACCCGTCAAGAGAAAGTATTATAAACAGACACAGAGGAAGATTGACACATGCAATCGTTGATGAGTGCGGCATTGCACACCAAATACACAAATGCATGAGTGTCTAATATTACTTACAGTTTTGTGATCGGAGATTATTTTCAGATGTTGAATATTCCCATAATAGCGCCTTTCCACTACTGAAGCAAATCTGCTATTGTCAAGGTCTTGATAGAATTCTTCGAGTTCCTGAAAAAGTGAAAGAGAAACTTTGCCTTTTGTGTGTGCCTTTTTTCGTTGTTGATTAGATTGTGTGCGTGTGCCTGTGCGTGCGTGTGTGGCAATAGTGTGCATGTACACGTAGGTACGTATTCGCTTTTTTTTCTTAGACCTATCGTTTAACGAATTTGATAATCATTCACGGTAATGCAAGTTGCTTAGAGGGGTGTCTTACGCCCGATGACGAGCGACAATTCCTGGCTAGCTTCAGAAGTTTCCCTTTCAAACCATAGGTACAATGTCCGAAGCCCATTCCTGGTGTACCTTGCCATGATGTTGCTGGAATATTGCTAAAAGCGGCGTAAAACTTTCATTGGACATCATCCAGATGTTCAGACAATTGGCATTATAACAAAGCCAAACAACCCGCGTCCTGCTTCACTTTCAGCAGGGGCGGTGAAGTAGCCTAGTGGTTAAAGCGTTCGCTCGTCACGCCGAAGACCCGGGTTCAATTCCCCGCATAGGTACACTGTGTGAAGCCCATTTCTGGTGTCCCCCGCCGTGATATTGCTAGTATATTGCTAAAAGCGGCTTTAAACAATACTAACTCACTCACTCTTCCAGGATTGCCCAGATCGTATTTGGGCCAGACATCGCAACCCACCTTCACACATTGTTTCAATCTTGGGTTTCAACCATCACCTGACAACACTTTCAGCACCCGAAACGCAGTCCTCAGAACGCAGTTACAAGTTAATTCATCAACGTATTAATTCACACATTAAACATTATTAATTTCATCTTTTCTGTAATTAATAAATCAATTACTTCACATTTGGTCTCTTAACCAAAGCATCCCAATTGAGGAGATCGATGCTCATTCTGTTGATCACCGGTCCATGTCAACTATTTACAGACCATCAAGCTATAGCTGGAACATTTCTGAGTGCGGCGTGTACCATCACACCAACCAACGAAACCTTTTGAAACCATGGGTACAATGTGTGAAGCCCGTTTCTGGTGTCCCCGCCGTGTGAAGCCCAAGTAGCTGGAACTTTGCTGTACAGCGTTAAAAACAAACAAAACAAACAAACAAACAAACTTACCCAGTGGTAACTGGCCACGTTGTTCTGCAGCTCTAAACGTGTGTAGAAAGATTGTGCTTTCCATCTAGCTGGAGGGCAGCATTGGTAAGCATCAGTTGCACTGAGAACCACAGCGAACAGACATATACTCTTAAGCTGCATCGTCGTTGGTTACCTCAAGGCAACACGGACTAGCAAACAGATGCTTTTAAACATGGTCACTGACTGGGGGTTGTCTCAAAGCTTCTGTCGGTATTTCGAATATTTTTCGTATATAATTTGATAAAGACTGGTTTAGTTTTTAAGAGTAGGGTGAAATTGAAACTTCAAGTTCATGATTACAGTACGGATTGGGCATTGCACGTGTTTGTGTGTTTGTGTTTATCTTCGTATTTCCATGTGTGTGTGCGTGCATACGTCTTTTTGTATGTACGTGTGCGCATATGATATGCGTGTGTGCATGCATGTATGTGTGCGTGCGTGCGTCCGTGTTTGTGTGTGAACGTGTATATAGCTGTCTGGAGGTATGTGGTCATGTGCATAGAACTCAGGTCACGAAAATCAGTTGAAGTTAAATAACGTTGGACGCCGGAGAGTCCTTGGATGGGTGACCGTGTTTGGCAGCTTGACTCCTGAGAGTTTCTAGGACTTCAGTCCTGCCTCACAACGGAGCACATATGACACATTTGGTCTCACCTTATGCAAGTGAGTTGGTTCAAAATTGCATCTGTTCACCAAGCAGAACATGGGTACCCGGTGAAATAAGTCGTGAGACTATTAACCTTCTAGCGCCTAACAGGCAGCTTGGGTTATCTGGGGTAATAATTATCAGATTGTTCACTTTGAGCAGGATATCTAGCCTGGAATGGGCACGTTATAATTATTCTCATTATTATGTTTTACGGACTAAGGTGCAAAATGCAGCAGAGAGGGTTCGGGTGTTCCTGGCACAGTCAGGCTGGTAAGGCTCATCATCAGCCCAGGGCCCTTGCCCCCTTTCTCATTATTATTATGTTTTACAGATTAAAGATAGTATGCAGCAGAGAGGGTTCGGGTGATCCTGGCACAGTCAGGCTGGTAAGGCTCATCATCAGACACGCAGCCCAGACAGCGAATGGGACTTCTCCCAGGAAACGCTGCCTAGTCGAACCCACCAAGAACTTTCCAGAGAATATGATGATGATGATGATGATGATGATGATGATGATGATGATGATGATGATGATGATTATTATTATTATTATTATTATTACTACTATTTTTCTATTCCGGACATTGTGCCCACCCATCGAGACATTGCAGCAGTACAACCTGACCACCCAATTCGAACTCAGTATACTGACCTCTCAATCATTGTATATGCCTTACTACCAAGCAGGTCGTACATGAAATGTTGCTAATGTCGAAATGGAGTCATTGCCTACTAAATATTGATAAAAATCAGGGTTAGAATTGTCATCGGTAACCCATGCTTGTTAGGTGACCAACGGGATAAGGGGGGTCAGGTTCGCTGATTTGATGACACATGTCATCGTATCCCAATTGCGTAGATCGATGCTCATGATGTTGATCACTGGATTGCTTGGTCCAGACTCGACTATTTACAGACCGCCGCCATATAGCTGCAATATTGCTGAGTGCGGAGTTAAACAACAAGCCCACCAATCCTACTACAATTATTCATATGTAGTAATTTTGAGAAAGCCCCCAATGGACAGGTTACTGATTGGACCTACACCCACCATGTTATAACTTGTCATATCATACCATGTCATATGAGCTTGTGCAACAGAGGATTCACTCGTATGTTTTATCAATAAATACACAGTGTAATATGTTGACTAAATGAAGTTTTCTGTGTCCACACGCATTGTTCACGGACAAAGCACCACGTTGAATTGTATTGTGACATACTGATATTATGTTTGCAGTAACCCATTTATTGGATAAAGACTCAGGGTCTGTTAGCTTAGCACAGCTGTTCATTGCACTAAAAATAACACTATTTTATCATAAGCAAATAATCCAGGATCAGATCGAGAAATCGAACCAGAGATGAGCGGATCCAATAATCGGATATTGTTATCTGCAACATGCAGATATATCATCCCTTTCCTCCACGTGCATGGGTGTGATCGGAAACAATCGGAGAGTATATTGCAGAATGAAATTCGATTTAGATGGCCATCTGAGAAGAACAAAACAGAAAAATGTTACTGAACACAAATTCATGAATTACCTAAACACTTGAATCTTTTTTGTATTCACTATAGTGGGTAGTGAATAGATGTATGTTGGGAGTGAGTGTTTGAGTGAGTGAGTGCGTGCGTGAGTGAGTGAGTGAGGTTTGACTAACTGACTGACTGAGTTTGGTTTTACGCCGCTTTTAGCAATATTCCAACAATATCACGGCGGGGGACACCAGAAATGGGCTTCACTCATTGTACCCATGTGGGGATTCGAACCCGGGTCTTCGGCGTGACGACCCAACGCTTTAACCACTAGACTACCCCACCGCTCCAGAGTGAGGTTTGAAGCACAACTTGAGAGGTTAACGTGGCCAGAGATTGGTTGATGACGCTCCACTCAACGTTGAATAATGCACATTTACTCAAGTGTGAGTTTAGTTTTACGCCACTCTTACAATATTCCAGCAACATCACAGCGGGGGGACACCAGAAATGGGCTTCTCACGTTGTACCAATGTGGGGAATCGAACCCGGGTCTTCGGCGTGACGAGCGAACGCTTTAATGTCTAGGCTACCTCACAGCCTCACACACATATACTCCACTTGTAACACTATCTACTGTTATGATGATGTGTTTTTGTTAATTATAATGTCACATTAACTTTTAGTTGTTATGGGTCACAAAATGTAAAGCGCTGAGTGGGGATTTGAACTCACACCTTCAACTTAGGCTACGTATTTTCACCTGTTGAGAGTGGGCTGGGGAGTTGCCTCCCCTTTGCCTTGTTTTCGGTGTTTTCGGTGGAAGACTGTCGGATTCCAGAAAGTTCGAAATGCTTGTGATATGACGTGTCTTTTACCATAATTATCTAAAACTGTATAATGGGCATAGTAGGAATGGGTTTTAAGATGTATAGGGGGACGACGTTTGATTTACGCTCATCTGTCTGCTAACATCCACGTTTCAAGACCTACCTCTCAAGATGCCGACATTGAACTTTCATGCTGCCAGATTGCTTCGTGCATGTTCACGTGGCTGGTGAAATCAGGAGTAAGGAAAATGGTTTGTTGAATCTCTGTCATTCTATTAACCACTGATTTTTCTGAATGTCTGTCATTATATCAACCACTGGTTTGTAGAACCTCAGCCACTCTATCAACCACTGGTTTGTTGAATCTCTGTCATTCTATTAACCACTGATTTTTCTGAATGTCTGTCATTATATTAACCACTGGTTTGTAGAACCTCAGCCACTCTATCAACCACTGGTTTGTTGAATCTCTGTCATTCTATTAACCACTGATTTTTCTGAATGTCTGTCATTCTATTAACCACTGGTTTGTAGAATCTCTGTCACTCTATCAACCACTGGTTTGTTGAATCTCTGTTTTGCTTGAAAAATCAAGACTTTGATGACTATAGACATTCAGTTAATATTATATATTTGTGACTCAGTCGTATTGCATCAGAAATCTCTACTGTACAAGAAAACAGATCTTTCAGATTATGGCTTCATAACGTGCACGTGAATCCCTTGCATTTGAAAAGTCTACAAAGTCAAGGAGAATATGGTTGATGGTGAACACTTCGTCGCACGAGATACATTTAGGAGGTCGATCTACATCTGTTTTCAGAGATAGTCATGAGTAAACCGACTGTGGTCAATACGACATCGTCGTAGAATTACGTCATCACGTGTTGACTGACAACCCAAGTAGGTATAACCGATTGTTGGTTTCAGTTTGTGAAAGTTTATTTCTGCCAACCGGTGATTATGAAAACACCCATTCTCTGTACGCCACCACGACTCGCATTGTTTGAAGAGTGCCGGGGGTGTTACATCTGTCACATTTCTTGATCTGTTTATCGCTGATTCTGAAACTGGCGGAAGGGTAGCCTAATGGTTAAGCGTTCGCTCCTCATGCCGAAGACCCGGATTCGATTCTCAACATGGGTACAATGTGTGAAATCTATTTCTGGTGTCCCCCGTCATGATATTTCTGGGCCATTGTTATAAGCGGTGTAAACAGTTACTCACTCACTGATTCTGTATCAAAGCATCCAAATAGCACATTTTGCACTTGTGTTACTTTCTCTTTGTGAGGTCTATGCTCGTGAACATTGTGCTACGTTTTTCATGTGTATGTTTGCGAATGTCCTGGTGATAATATAATCACATGTAGCTTTTTTCTTCTGATATCTTTAATCACACACATTTAAGCATGTAATTACTTTAGAATATGTTAATTCTAAAATGGTCATTTTCAAACGACAACGGGGTCGTGGGACTGGTTTTGTGTTGAAAGTGCTCTCGTCACACCGAATACCCGGGATCGATTCCCCACATGGGTACAATGTGTGAAGCCAAAACTGTTGTCCCCCGCCGTGATATTGCTGGATTATTGCTAAAAGGGGTGCAAAACCATATTCATGCGCTCATTTATTCTACAAAGCATCCACACGTTACTTTCATTTTGTCGTTTCTATGCCCGTGAACATTGTGCGACCTTGTTTGCGAATATTCTGCTGATAATTTAATCGTATGCAGCATGTCCTCCTAACAGGGCGCATAAGACCACGTCTTTCAAAGTCTGCTTATTTCTACCACATTTTACTGGTAGAAAATGTGTTCGTTTTTTCTTTGATATGTTCGCCAACATCTGATGGGACCCCTCACATTATGTTTGTTGCCATCCTGCTGGTTCAATAAGTGGAGTTCCATTCCCCTCATGGGTACAATGCTTGAAGTCCATTTCTGGAGTCCTCCACTATGATATTTCTGGAATATTGCTAAAGAGGCGTAAAACCAAACCTATTCCCTCACTCACTGAGGTGATATAATATGTTAACTCACTCACCCACTCTTCTCATTACTTTACTCACGTTTACACTTGCATTTAACCATTTAATCACTTGTAGGTTCACTCTCAGCTGATGGTTTGTTCAGATCATACGTTCAAGCTTGTATACTCACTTACATGACAGCGCCGATTGCCGTGGTGGTCTTCTACAGAAAAACTGCAAATAATCCGCTTATATATTTCAATAATTTGCGAGCAATCCTCAGATTTCTGAGCATAAAAGTTAAAGCTTATTTCTCGTTACGCCGAGGACCCGGATTTGATGCCCTACATGGGTACAATGTGTGAAATCCATTTCTGGTATCCCTCTCATTGTTTTGGTGAGATCACAATGTCCAATTTGAAAAAATAAATATTCTCTCTGCTTATGCGAATCTTTTACATGAATATCTGATAAACTGCAGCTGCCAACGTCCACTCAAACATGTAAACGGTAATAATACAATTCTTCCTAAATACTACATTCAGCAGCTACACATAAACTACACATAACTCGGCGTAGTTCCCACGTAGGTACACAGAAACTAAATATAACTCGGCGCAGTTCCAACGTAGCTACACAGAAACTACACATAACTCGGCGTAGTCACCACGTAGCTACACAGAAACTACACATAACTCGGCGTAGTTCACACGTAGCTGCACAGAAACTAAAAATAACTCGGCCTAGTCACTACGTAGATACACAGAAACTACACATAACTCGGCGTAGTCACAAAGTAGCTGCACAGAAACTACACATTACTCGGCGTAGTTCCCACGTTGCTACACAGAAACTACACATAACTCGGTGCAGTCACAAAGTAGCTGCACAGAAACTACACATAACTCGGCGTAGTTCCAAAGTATGTACACAGAAACTACACATAACTTGGCGTAGTCACCACGTAGCTACGCAAAGATTTAACATAAATCGGCCTGGTCAGTACGTAGTAAACGAAACCATGAAACACAAATCTTAGTGAATGTTGAATAAACTCAGAGTGATTCCTCGTCATGTGCACTGCACATTTGCACACACTAACTTGTAATGAAATTGTAAGTACCCATGATAACAACACGTGCAATATCATATGAACCAATCATGCTGCGCACATTTATTCTATGAGAAATATGAAATATTTAATACACAAACGAATATAGTGATAAACATGAAGTTCACAATTGATTTGCAAATGTCACTAGGTTCAACGTATACATTATAATATATATTATATTACATACATATAACATTTAATAACCTCTGGATAGATTTATTAATTGTTCACGAGTGGGCAATACAGCTGTGCAGATGTTACTACCATCCATGGTAAAAAGAACATATCTAGCAGCATCTAATGTTCTTTCGTACTAATCGATAAAAATGCACCATGGACAATCAAACACTCTTTTGACGAACTTTGATATGGTGAAGTAGCGGTTGTCTACGTAATGCGTTGTACTTTATCTTTCATTTTCGTTGAACCTGCTATGTGCTTGTGTCACAGACATGGTTCTCTCGAATTGTCCAGATCCCAAACATATTGTCAGTTTATATCATCGACCGTCATTGTTAATTTAACTAACAGTTAATTTTCCATCCATCCATCCATCCATCCATCCGTCCCACACACATACACAGATCCATACATACACAGACAGACAGATAGACAGACAGACATACAGACATATATAAAATACACACATATATGGAATATAAAATTGCAGAAAACGAAAAACGATCTGTCATGTGGTACCTCTTGGATGATGGTATGCCCTTAGACAACATCATAAAAAATATGTTCCCGTGATAATTAACATTCCGTGATTTGGATTGCATGATTTATATTCAGACAGTTATGTCGATGTGATTTCGTCATCTGAAATGGGGGTGGGTAGTGTCCAACTTTAACAAACGATTGTAGTTTCAAGTTGCTTTCTTATGCACTTTAACATCTAAGTCTGATTGTAGCAGACTTCTGCATATCCCAAACACTCAAAATGTTTTTTCTTACAAATTTTCTTTTCCAAGATAAAAGTCAAACAAATTGGAAATCATGAGGCTGGCAGAAAACTATTTTGCTTGAGGTTGACAGGCAATATGTCGAATGATAAAACATAAAATCAGCTGCATTTGTATAATTTTCTAAGTGAGGCTGACTACTTTTGAACGTATTAACACGTGTTCGAAAAGGCGTCACCAATCATTACCCATGTGACAAACACGTGACATCGGGAATACACTCCAAATACCAGATATTTATCGAAGTAACGAGAATTAAATTAATTTGAAATTACGAGAAAGTGATTGAAATAAAGAGAACATATTCGAAATCACGAAAGTATATTAGAAATAACGACAAAAAACTCGAAATTTCGAAAAGAAAGACACAAACAATAACTTTAAATGAAGAGAAAATCATGGTAAAATAATTTATGCTTTAAAAGTAATAATGGGATACCTTTTCCTACGTATCGTATATTTGCAACAGTGAACTCGTTATGCTGCTACATGTCCGCTCGTGCATTGCGTGTTTAATATATTGGTTACTCGATGTTACCACAATTCTCAGACTGGTACAGTCTCTAACAGGTAATCCAACACTTGGTCCGGCAGGAACGGTTTCAGAAATATGTACACCTGAAAAAAGGATTACCCGGCAATTGAATACGTATTACAGGTAGATGGAAGGAGGTAAGACTGGATAAAAGATCGATAATCGGTCTTATCATCCTTCTATGAGTGACATTTAAATTGGGTGACGAGTGAATAGTGACATAGCGACAATGTGACAAATAACCGAAATGTCGCATTGTCGCGCTTTGGATAATTTTGCCTCTTTTTGCTTGTTTTTGAGAGGGCGACAACGCGACAGTGTCCCTTCTAGGATTCAATAATAAATAGCTAAACTATATATATCCAGCCAGAGCGGTAACGCATCCAGAACTCAAATATTTACTTGTTATTGAGAATTTATTGTAAATATCACAATTTATTGACAAAAGTATCAAAACCCAAACTGAAGAACAGGGACAATATCGCTGACGACAAGAAGGCAATATTCAATGTATTGTATTCGCAATTATATTCGCCATTTTTCCATCCATTTAACTAAGATATTCATATGACATATGAATTCATCGATTATAGTGTGTCATAGCCATTTGACCTCATCGATTAAAACGTGGAATAGCAATATAGTTCATGAGGAAAGTAGGAGGGTAGTCGGGGGTTTCATATGGCAAACATTTAGCTTCGATGGCGATAACACGGGGATATCTGAAAACGTTTTTTGTTTCCCAAACCTGGTCATGTGTATGAACAGAGGTTGAGATATATATTTTGGATTGGTTGTCTTTTTAATGCCACACTCACCCTTATTCCAGGTCTATGGCGGCGGTCTGTAAATGATCGACCCGACAACCCAGTGATCAACATTAAGAGCATTGATCTACGTAATCGGGATACGATGACATGTGTCAGCCAAGTTTGCAAAACTGGCCGCCTGGCCCCGATTTCGCGAAACAAATTTAAGTTTGTACTCAAATTTCAAACTGACAATTTTGACATTTTGAAACAGCTGAATTTTTAACTCAACGGCATTTTCAAAATAAGTAAAGTCCAAACAGCTTATGTAATCTATTCAACAAACTCAAATTGTCTACTCTGTAGATTTCAGTTTATTCTGGGCAATGCATTTTTTCTGCGTTTTCTCATATTTGAGTAAAAACTCTTACTGAAATCAAAACTCAGACTTAAGTTTGTTTCGAGAAATTGGGGCCAGATCCCCATACTCACTGTATCTTGCGACAAACATTGGCTGCTGAAGAACAATTGTAAGCCGTATTTTCAGGGGCACCTACCACACGAAAGTCCACCAGTGAATTCGTTCCCCCGATGAGATATCTCGGGCTGACCTTGACCTCTACCAACTGACGTTCCATGATGTCTAGGACGGCGTCGCATGATGTCGGTGATTTCTTTGCAGCGGTGTACAGGTCATCGACAACCTGTTCTGCCAGTTGTTGTGGGTACACCCTCCTGACGTCATCACTGGCCGAGTTGAAACCGTCAAACAGTCTCCTTCTGAACATTTCAATCTGCATGCAATAACAGAAAAGTATCAAGCGTCTCGTAACAGAACGGGAATGAGACAGTCCGAATGTGTCTTGTAACTGTGCAACCTCGGAAAGGGTAACACGGAGCAGTCCGAGCGACAGCTATCGGAACCTTCGCCCATTACTATGAGTAGTACAACACGACTCGGTTACGAATGCAAGCAGCCTAACGATTGACTCATTCTAATTCGCCTCTGTCACTCGATTCAATGAATTTACATTTGTCACGAGAAAGACTTTTCTTTGTCATTGGAAGTATTGTCATACAACGTAAGACGTTCAAGTCTGGCTAACCTGGTTTGGGGGAAAAATAATTAACAGGATTTCAAACAAACTATTTTGTGTTATACCTGTGGTACATTTTGTTTCCAATTTAAACACTTCCTCACATCGTGAAATATAATTGAAATAGATAAAAAAAATAATAATCGAAATTTAAAGTTTTAAAATATACTCGAAATGTAACAAGAATAATCGAAAAAAGTCGAAATGTCTTAAAGGAACAAATAATTGAAATAAAGATGTGTTAATTAAACAAATGATTTATGTTTTAAAAGTTATAAAGGGATAAAGAGTTGCTTGATATTCTTTAGAGCAGTGAAAAAGGAACCATTCGTCTAAGCGAACAAACCGCGTCATCGGTAAAATGACATACAATCAAAGTAGTCAGGTGCCTGTCACATGATTCATGTGTACTACGCCAGTGTGCGAAATAGCCACTGGCGCTCAAGCCCGTGGCTAGTAAAAATGCACAGTCACTGGCCCGACTGGCTAGTGAATTTTCATGGGGTCATTTTGTAAATATACCACTCTCTCCGAATTGTTATGTTATAATACACTTTTAAATCATGCAAGATTATGGTCTGATAAATGATGGTATTTTACCTTTTTGTTATCTTTTGCTTAGTTCTGCTTCTTGACTCCACTGAACCCCCATATTTTTAGTGCATCTGTGTGACATTTGCCGACACGTTTCGCCTTGGATGCTGATGGACCACTTACATTGTGTTCGCGAAGAATGGCTGTTGCTCCCCCGAAATGTCCTGGCTCAATCACACTGACTTGCACGCCAAATCGCCTCATCTCTTGCCGCAACGCATCAGAGAAAGCTTCTAAACCGTACTTCGAAATGCAGTACGTCGAGTTACCTCCCCTTGCCAGGCGGCCTCTTTCACTGGACACGTTTATTATCCGACCTGAAATTATGCACCTTATGTACTTAATTTGTCTGCAATACTGCATTTTGATATCAATGGGAACCATGGCCTCAATACGTCATTGCATTACATTCAAGGGTGAAGGACGGAATCGTTTATATAAAGCAACCAATATGATATCGAAGACTGACTGACTGACTGAGTTTGGTTTTACGCCGCTTTTAGCAATATTCCAGCAACATCACGGCGGGGGACACCAGAAATGGGCTTCACACATTGTACCCATGTCTTCGGCGTGACGAGCCAACGCTTTAACCACTAGGCTACCCCACTGCCCCTGATATCGATGAAGCATGTGAGACCATGTTTGTTTGTTTGTTTTGTTTGTTTGTTTAACGTCACATGACGGTGGTCAAGACGTAATTGAGTCTGGACCAGGCAATCTCTAGTCTGTTTGCAGTGAAAACGTACCGATGAATTTCAACAAGAAAGCAAATCGAATAAAGTGAAATTAAGATTGCGAATCCTCATAATTGTACCTTGCCAACTGAACATATAAATACATGTATCATAATTTTATTAAACTTAAGATAAAAAGTTGTTTAACAAACGATCTTAGTTTCAAATCGTTATTATTTGTTTGTATTACAAGGGTGTGTGCACATTAAATGAAACACCGAGAACAAATAGGGTTGGTCTAAGTTAACGCTCATCACGTACCACACGTGCATTTGTTTCAGTGTTCCAACTACTGCACTTACCCCCTTGTAATACAAACCAATAACAGCGATTTGAATCTATGATCGTTTATTAAACGACATTAGGATCTTCTCCATCTTGGTATCGGGATGTCTCTCCTCACTGTCGTTGATGCGGCGTATATCAATTTTCATTCATTCATGTCCTATTTGTTTTCTCACCTTTAGCTTGCCTCACAAGTGGCAGGAACGTTTTGGACACTCTAATGGCCCCGAACAGGTTGACTTCACACACTTCTTTGTAGAACTGCAAGCTGCACAGCTCCACTGGGCCTCCTCCGTCAATGCCGGCGTTGTTCACAACAGCCCACAAGCCTGCAACATAGACGCCAGAGGTGCAACCCTTTCTTCCCTCCAGTGTTGTATTGTAATATGGCTCATTATGTTTGTATGTAAGGATTCGTGGATGATGTTTGACGTGTAAAAAGTTGCTCCTTTTCTCGTATTACAATCGTTGCCAATATTTCTTCAATGTTTTTTTTTTCTTCTTATTTCTTTGAGTCAGATATTTTCATTTCAAATTACAGAAAAGATGAATGTTAATGTCACATAAGACTAATCGTACAAATGACCTCTTATAAACATTTCATAAATGTGCAACGACGGTAGCAGTAGTAGTAGTAGTAGTAGCAGTAGTAGTAGTAGCAATGGTAGTAGTAGTAGTAATGGTAGTAGTAGTAGTAGTAGTAGTAGTAGTTGTAGTAGTAGTAGGAGGAGGAGGACGACGTTACTGTCGCCATCGTTGTACCCTCGCAGATTCTGTTATTAATGCATTGTGCTTGAAAGTGTTGCTGCTGCTGCTGCTGCTGCTGCTGCTTATGATGATATTGTTGCGGTTATTACTATTAGTGTAACACATGCTATATTTTGGATTGCACTTTCTCAGTACAGTACAGGTTTTAGGACTTTTATTGGCCTGACTAATATCCCGGATGCCAACCCACCCTCTCAGAGTAAGGCACCTAGTCGCCAGCACACAAATTCATCCATCTAGCCCACTCAGCTACAGCGGCTTCCACATTGAATCAGCTCAACACAAGTAATAGAACCTGCACTTACTCAGGTAGTGTAATCCCAAATATAACATGTTACATTTGAATGAGTGAGTGAGCTTAGTTTTACGCGGCACTCAGCAATATTCCAGCTATATGGCGGCGGTCTGTAAATAGACCAGACAATCCAGTGATCAACAGCATGAGCATCGATCTACGCAATTGGGAACCGATGACATGTGTCCACCAAGCCAGCGAGCCAGACCACCCGATCCCATCAGTCGCCTCTTACGACAAGCATGGGTTACCGAAGGTTCATTCTAACCCGGACCATCACGGGTATTACATCTTACCACTCTCTGAAAGACATATATGTTCGTTACTATTAACAATATAAGCAGCGTTCATAGATCGATCGCTACAGCAACGTCATCGCTTCCTATTCGCGATCAAGAAACCATCTATCATTATCAAGAGACAACAAAAGCAAGTATCCCCACCTGTACTTCGACATCTCTCCTGGACGTACTTAAGGGCATCATTCACTTCCCTATCCTTCGTCACATCCATCTTCAACACGTGCATCCTCTCCTCGAACGTACTCTGCAGTTCTCGCGGCCCCTCTGTGTTGTCGTTCAGACAGCCAGCGAACACCGTAAAGCCGAGCTTGTGCGCTCGCGTCGCCAGCATATTACCAAACCCTATCAAGACAGAATAATCAGTGAGTAATGTTTATCTCTGCTTTAAGTAGGTTAGTATGGCTTTACATGGGTTTACTCTGCTTTTAGTGAATGAGTATGGTTTTATGCCGCTTTTAGTGAATGAGTATGCTTTTACGCCGCTTTTAGCAATATTCCAGCAATATATAGACTCCAGAAATGGGTTTCACACATTGTACCCATGTCTTCGGGATGAAGGCCAACGCTTTATCCACTAGTTCAGTCATGCGCCCTTACGGCGCTCGTAGCAATATTCCAGTAATATCACGGTGGGGGGACACACCACGAAAATGGGTTTCACACGTTGTACCCATGTGGGGAAGAGAACAGTGCCTTTGCCGTGACAAGCGAACCTTTAACCTCTAGGCTACCCTGAGACCTGCATTACTTCGGGATGTCCTTCCACATTAGCCAGGCACGCTGTGATGTAACTTTAAAAGTGTTAAGAGTCTCAAGCCAAAATACTCACTAACGTGCGGTTTTGTTTTATAGTCGCAGACTTTTTAAAGACATGTGGCATGGTGGGCGAGCTGTATATAGCGCCAGGCTAGTGATCCAGCGACCTCAAGGTGCCGGAATCGAGCCCACCTGTGACCGGGTGTTCAAACCTTGGAGTCAACTTTGTGTGCAGACTCTTTCAGTGTTGTCACAACCCCAAGTGTACAGTACACAACCCTGTGCACTTAAAAGAACCCACGAATCCTTTGGTAAGTGACCAGATGGTGGCCACATGAATACGTGCAAACACCCAGTTGTGGTTACAACAACGTGCAGTGAACTTGGTCAAAGTACTGTGACTATGTGTCCCAGTCCACCCAGCTGTGAATGGGTACCTCGTAGGGATGGGAAAGCCACATTAACTCGGTGCGCCTAGTAGGCAGCAAGAGTTGTATGATCCCAAGGGGTTGAGATTGATAATACGACGTGCCGTTGAGATTGACATCCAATGATCGGGGGCAAAACAAAGCGCCTTTGAGTAGCTGAGCTGGATATTGGCGCTATACAAATGTTAGTATGATATCATAAAAGGGTGACGTATGGTAAGTTTGGTAAACTGTTGAGCGAGAAAGTGTTTGCCCAAGTCCACAATTCTATGTTGTCTTTCTGTTGGTGGCAGATTATTCCCCGTGGGAGATAACAAGATTTCACATTCGCGCAAATCCAAATGCTTGTGATGGTTTCTGTGCAATAAATATTTCTTAACACAGATCATAACTGGTCGGTTTGTTGCTTAACGCCGCACTCAGCAATATTCCACCTATATAAACGTATAGTGCGTTTGACTTCATTTGAGACCGATGAATTGCTCACTAACACAAAATCTAATAATTGCAACAAAAACAAATTTTGCACTGTCACATGAAATCGACAGACCAAATACGATGATTTGTCTCATAATTTTGGACACCCGGATAAAAAAGTTGTTTAACAAACGATCATTATTTTGTTGTCACTTACCGCTATTTCTTACGAGGGAGGACCGCTTGCTAGTAAAACAGCCAGGTGTGCGAGTTGTACGTGTGAAATTGAAATTTCACTGCACGCTTGTTGATTACCTGGCTGTTCCAAAGTTTTGCTCGTCCCACCAGGGTCTACATATCAGTTACTTTGACACTGAAATTTTGAAGCCTTTCCAATCTATATATTCAACGCTGTACCCCAGGTATTAATGACTATGCTCTTCATCGGTCTCAAATGACTGACTGACTGACTGAGTTTACTTTTACGCCGCTTTTCGCAATATTCCAGCAATATCACGGCGGGGGACACCAGAAATGGGCTTCACACAATGTGCCCATGTGGGGAATCGAACCCGGGTCTTCGGCGTGACGAGCCAACGCTTTAACCACTAGGCTACCCCACCGCCCGGTCTCAAATGAAGTCAAACGGACTATAGTATAGTTCATTACACGCATTTTGATAGCAAGTGACAAAGACCAAAAACACGACATATATCACTCGTTTCATTAGAAGCGCATGGGTACAATGTGTGAAGCCCATATCTGACGTCCCCCGCCGTGATGTTGCTGGAATATTGCGAAAAGCGGCGTAAAACCACACTCAGTCAGTCAGTCGTTAGAAGCGTGTTCGTTGTGAACGTGGGTTACAGTTTCTTTGTTTGATTGTTGTTTTACGCCGCACTCAGTAATATTTTTTATATATGGCGGCGGTCTGTAAATAATCGAGCCTGAACTATCGTGATCATACATTGTTCAACAGCCTGCGCATCCATGGGTTACTGAAGTCAAATTCTGGCCCAGATCTTCACGGGTCTTATACCAGTGAGTGATTGAGTTAAGTTTTACGCCGCTTTTAGAAATATTGCAGCAATACCACTGCGGGGGACATCGGAATAGGTCTTCACACATTATGTCCATTTAGGGAATCGAACCCGGGTCTTCGGCGTGACAAGCGAACGCTGTAACCACTAGGTCACCCCACTGCCCCTCCTGTAAACATGAGTGAGTGAGTTTAGTTTTACGGCGTTTTTAGAAATATTTTAGCAATATCACGGCGGGGTACACCAAAAATGGTCTTCACACATTGTACCCATATGTAGGGAATCGAACCCTGGTCTTCTGGCATGACGAGCGAACGCTTTAACCACTACGTCACCCCACCGCCCATCCTGTACACATGAGTGAGTGAGTTAGTTTTACGCCGTTTTTAGAAATATTTTAGCAATATCACTGCGGGGGACACCAGAAATGGTCTTCACACATTATATCCATTTAGGAAATCGAACCCGGGTCTTCGGCGTGACGAGCGAACGCTTTAACCACTAGGCCACCCCACCGCCCATCAAGCTCACCTGCATCACATCCAGTAATGAGTATAGCCTTCCCTGTCGGATCTATGTGATTGGGTGTATCCGATTTGAAGAAGTACAGCACAACGGCGTAGAAAACGCAACCTGCTATCATGCACCAGAATATGTAGTCGATGAAGTAGTATATCAACGTTGCGAAGACCGCCGTGGCCGCTACGGGGATACATTGCACATAGAAATTTGATTGGGTCGCCATCTGTGGAAAACAAAACAGAAACATGTTATTGAACACAAATTCATGAACTACTTAAACACCTGAATCTGTTTGGATTAGCTAGAGTGAGTGAGTGAGTGAGTGAGTGAGTGAGTGAGTGCGGTTTTAGGCCGCTTTTATCAATATTCCAGCTATATCACGGCGAGTGACACCAAAAATGAGCTTCACACATTGTACCCGTGTGGGGAGTCGAATCCGAATCTTCGTGGCGATGTTTCGGTATATATTCTTACACTGTTTTCAAGCATGAAGTCACGCATGAATCAAGGTTTGTCATCTTTATACCATTAACTTCTAGAAGGCCACTCATGATATTTACACTTATCATCTAATGGAGGGTGTTATCGGTGCAATAAAGCAATACGATAATCAAAATCTGATAACTATGCAAATCACGTCAATCCACGAACTACTTTCTCAAAACTCCATATATGCCATGCGAATCCTAAAACGTTTAACATTTCATTGATGACGTCGTCGCGAGTTTACATTGCGCTTACATTTCGAACCCAGGCAGCGTATAACCATGTTGCTCTGCCTTGCATGTGTTGGTTCTGATTTAATAAATTATCTGTATCAAACAATTTCAGAGATATCAAAACAAGTACAGATCGCCGTCAAATTACTGGATTATTGATGATTATTGTGAAAAAAAAAAAAAAAAATACGTTCAAAATACCAGAGGGCCTTGTAACGCTTAATACCGCCATCAAGGTATGTACTGTCACTAACGGGGTTTAAGCACTATATAAAAGGAAAGGGATGTAACGAGGTCAACACACCAAGTTCGTTTCAGGGAGAATTCAACAATGTTCACTGTATTTATCCCATTAAAGTATGCACATATTTCACGCCAATAGATTTACCTACAAAATAAGGCATACAGCACAAAAATCAAAGCAGTACTTTACGAGCTAGGGTCTTCGGAGCCAAAATCCCTGCTCAGAATTTGTAGCGGTAACTTGGGTACAATGTGTGAAGCCCATTTCTGGTGTCCCCCGCCGTGATATTGCTGGAATATTGCTAAAACTCAGTCAGTCAGTCAGTAGCGGTAACTCACCAATTTTCTGGTTTATTTCACAGTATACACGAACGACATGCACCAAAACATGTTGAACTGATGTCACCTGTCAGCGCGCTAGTCGCCATTCTTTCGGAGACACTTAGACCTCACTGTCATAATGAGATTACGTACATTTATTCATCGCAAACAGAATTGTGTCGTGCCCGTTCGCCATTGACGACATTGGCCTTAACCTGCCCCGCGCTGAAAAGAGTGAGCGATGTGATGGGACATATTCTATTTATAGCCAGTGAGCTCCCTTGCTCTTTTCAGTGCGGGGCAGGTTAAGGCCAAGGTCGTCAATGGCGAACGGTCGTTAGTGATTTTAGCGTTACAAGCCCCTGTGACAAATACAACAAAACAGACAAGGGCATGTGGATGTTTTCCATACAGACAGCATATTTGCAGGAATACATTGTTTTGTTTTATTCTTTTTAAGAAACACAGTTCAAGTCCCCTGAAAATCAAATAGCATCTCTTTTTTGTTTCGTTTCATCCAGGTAACTTCACTTTAACCTTTAAACGCACTGTGGTGAAAATATACATGAAACAATTTATCATGATTCAAATCATCAAAGCATGATTCACATATTACCTGTCAGTATTTTCTGACTTAACGGGACGGTGGGGTAGCCTAGTGGAAAAAGCGTTCGCTTGTCACGTCAAAGAACCGGGTTCGATGCTCCTAATGGGTACAATGTGTGAAGCCTATTTCTGCCTATTTCTGTCTCCTGCCGTGATATTGCTGGAACAATACTTAAAGCTTCGAAAAACATACTCACTCACTGTGACTTAACCTGGAGCGGTGGGGTAGCCTAGTGGTTAAAGTGTTCGCTCATGACGCCATAGATCCGGGTTCGATGGTCCTAATGGGTACAATATGTGAAGCCTATTTCTGCCTATTTCTGTCTCCTGCCGTGATATTGCTGGAATAATACTTAAAGCTTCGAAAAACATACTCACTCACTACGACTTAACCTGGAGCAGTGGGGTAGCCTAGTGGTTAAAGTGTTCGCTCATGACGCCATAGATCCGGGTTCGATGCTCCTAATGGGTACAATGTGTGAAGCCTATTTCTGCCTATTTCTGTCTCCTGCCGTGATATTGCTGGAATAATACTTAAAGCTTCGAAAAACATACTCACTCACTATGACTTAACCTGCAGCGGTGGGGTAGCCTAGTGGTTAAAGTGTTCGCTCATGACGCCAAAGATCCGGGTTCGATTCCACACATGGCTAAAATCCATGTCCACATTTCTGGTTTTTCGCGATGTTACTGGGGTGTTGCTAAAAGCGGCATAAAACCATACTCGCTCTGACATAACCTTTGACCTGCCCTTTGACATGACCTATTTGGAAGCTTTACTCAACCGACACTGACAACATGGCTGTAGCGACAGCCGTCATACAATAGGCGTATACAACTGTCAGTGTCTGTGAGATAAACGTATTTATCATTTATCAGGACCTCTCGGGTTTCTTACAGTAACTGTGGACTCTGAACAGGGTGCACTGTTGTGGTTATTTCCGTCACGCGAGTCGAGATGACCTAGCGTACTATTTCGGTTCACAACGCTCCCTGCGCGTAATCGGTATTGCACCATATCTTAAATACAATGTCACTTATCTTTGATAAGCTGTGGTATGCTATGTCACCAGGCCAGTAATTAGCATTGTGTAACCGGCTTTAGTGCAGAGAGAGAGAGGGGTGGCGGGTGGTGGGGGTGGCGGTGTGTTGAGAGAGAGAGAGAGAGAGAGAGAGAGAGAGAGATCCTTCTGAGAGCCTCTACGAGAGAGAGAGAGAGAGAGGCGTGAGAGAGAGAGAGAGAGAGAGGGAGGGAGACACAAACACAGTCGTGCATCGGGCATCAATTTCAATCTCCATCTCTCAGCAACGCCAGCTATTCCACCCCTCCAAACAAACCTCCTCAAGGTTGTAGCCACGTACACAAAAGCCAGAATGAGACAGGAGACACGCCCAAACTGTCTCGACACACTTATAACCATGGGTATTTCATATGAGTTACCTCAACAGCAGGCGTCCAATCCTCGGGGCTGTGTATCCACGGCGTTGCTTCGTAACACTGAAGAAGGCCACTTGTTACTGTCTAAAGTCCGATACGGGGAGTGTGCTGTAGTGATATATCCCGTTGTACAGTACAGTGCAGCCTGACCTCGAGTACAATGTACTGCTGGTGTCTTGATTTCGTCGGTGTGCCGCTTCCCGACCTACTCTAGAGTGAGCGAGCGCATATGTGGCGATAATTGTGGCTCTCACTATCAATCATTGGACTTTCGGTTCATGACTGAGCTCTATTTTTAGTACCTGGGCTATGTCGTATGGCCCTGATAATGGATATTCAGACCGCCTTTAGACACCTAAACTATTTTTGTATGGCTCTGGCCATGGATATACTGACCACCGTTAAGTATCTGGACTATTGTCGTATGGCTGCCGTTAATAAAAACTCATCAAGCGAAAAACAAAAAAAAACAAAACAAAAAAAACATCCAGATATACACAAAAATATGTTGATCACTGGATTGTCTGGTCCAGACTCGATTATTTACAGAATGTCCCCATACAGCTGGAATATCGCTGAGTGCGGCGTAAAACTCACCTCACTGACTATCTATATCAACTGGATTCGATGATGCACCAGCGTATAAACATGTGCGGCTACTTGTACCAGCCCAGACTGAAGCTGGTTTTATAGTGCTAGCCCACTGAGATACCATGCCGCAGTGAAGCACGAATACCCAACTCAGACACAAAATACTGATTCCGAGTCGACCAGTCCTTGTTATACCACGTAATGCCGAGCGCCAGGCAGGGACCAACAAGTACCATATTTTAACGCCTTTTTGGTATGACGCGGTCGGGGATCGACCCTGCGACTTTCCCTCTCCGGTCTAACTTTACGCTCTAACCACTACACCACGGAGGCGGTCGTTTGACACAAGTCTTGACATGCTGATGATCACTGGATTGTCTGGTCCAGATTCCACTATTTACAAACTGCCTCCATATATCTGGAATATAGCTGGGTGCGTTAAACAACCATTCAACAAACAAAATCACACATATTTTCGGACGACGCAACGTTCATGTACGACGCCAAGTTAGGTTTTTCAGCTGACGGCTCGCACACTGTGACTGCTAAGGTCTACTACGTGGAAAAGGTCTTCTCCGGCCACACAATCGGCGAGGTGCTCGCCATCACTAGCGACCTCAAAGTGCCAGTAGAGACCTCAGTATTTGGGCGTGAGGAATAATCCGCTTATAGGCGCCAATATCGAGGCACATTGCTCGCTCAGGGCGCTGGGTACATTACTATCCCTGGTCAGAGGACACTATCCTATCGTACGATCTGATACATTTTCAACTCCCTGGGGATCCCTGCTGGTATATTGCTAGAAGCGGCGTAAACTCCAACTCACTCACTTAAATCAGCATGGATTCAGAGAGAACAAGGTCATTATTTGTTTCCACAGATATCTACCTGGACATAAGTGTGACAGGAAACGTTGTATCTCCGATGGCCGAAGCTGATGCCAACGTCTTCACCCCACCGGATAGTTGCAGCAGCTCGGTGAGACGTTCATGACGATGTTTCATAAAATAAAGACGTGTTCATCAAGGATTTCTTCTATTCGAGAAAGAATACACAAGGAGAGAATTTGCACTATCATATATTGCTCTTGACAACCAAAGTGATCAGTTTGTAACCTCCGAGTTCAATTCTTCATCAGTAATCGATGTTTGTTAAAAGATAGGGCGGTCGATGATCGCTGATCAATCAATCACGTGACTGTATAGTCCAGATAAGATAAGGTCCAGACTCGAATATTTAAAGATAAGGTAACATAAGATAAGATAAGAAAAGGTGAGGTGAAGTGGGGTGGGGTGGGGTGGGGTTGGGTAGGGTAAGGCGTCATTTGCAAACTTTACAGTTGAATATTGTGAAGCATTATTGATACAGTCATTTGTTTATAAAATAAATAAAACGGAGGAAAGAACATAATCTTGCGGGGCACCAGTGGATATAAATGTTGTTGCTTATTATGTGTTGTTAACAATTACAAAAGTGGGGTCTGTTTAAAAGACAATATTCTATCCGTGTTGTAACACATGGATTGACTGACATATTACAGAGCTTTTGAATTAAAATATGAGACTGGATAGTATTAAAAGCTGAAGAAAAGTCCGCAAACTGAATTCGTACGTAGGAATGGGAAGGTTCTAGTTGGCCATCAGGTTGCTGGAATATTGCTCAGAAGAAAAACGACGATGAACCTACCAATGACTCCAACAAGGAAAAATGAACTCGAATTTATTTAAGCTCATTAAAACAGACCGAAGACGCCGGAGTACGTTACACGCGTAATACTGACAATTAAAAATATAATCTGCAGACGAAAGAAACGCTAATATGGATTTCAGATATGTTTGTTTTGTATTACATAAATAATCAACAGATTACAATAAATTGTCAAGAAGTCTTTGTCACTAACGGCCATTATGGTACACATATGAGGCAATTGAATGTCAAAAATGAAGGTCGCTTCTCAATAACCCCGTGTCAGATTACAGAACTGTATTATGAGTGAGTGAATTAGTGAGTATGCTTTTACGCCGCTTTTTCAATAAGCCAGCAAAATCACGGAGGGGGGTACCAGAAATGGGTTTCATATTTTAATATCATGCGTAGAGTTCATATATAAAGAAGCTGTTTGGTTTCCATACAAAGTGTCATGTATTCCCATAAGTCGATGATCAGTTAGTACCCTAACACTGTGGTTTATCCTTCAGCATTTCCCTGAAGAAGAGCTGGAAGTGCTGCGAGTGGGTGCTCAGAGGAGATTGTTCCAGTGAGGACTGATCAATGATGGCCGCCTTTCCCTAAAGACTGAAAATGTGTTTCTTTACATGAGATTCTTCTCCGGCTTTGACATGCGTCACATATTGCTGTATCTGTGTGTTTATCTTTTGTGTTGATGTACATTTCGTTTGTATTATTGCATTGTAATTAAAACTACTCCTGTAGTAGAGCAAGAGCTTTGTTCTGTGTTTGATTAACTGTAAACTATCCGTGAAGATCCTGGTTAGAATTGGTCTTCAGCAACCCATGCTTTCTTGACTTGGTTGACACATGTCATCATATCCCATCTTGTGTAGATCGATGCTCATCGTGTTATTCACCGGAATGACTCGATTATTTACTGAATACTAATATATATATGGAATATTGCTGACAATCAATGGGGGCCAACTGTGTCTGTGTTCCGGAGGACAATGTGGACTATTCACTCAAACATATAAATTGTGTTTGGCTAACCCTAGCGTTTTATCAGTTAGTACATAATGGACAAAATATGTTTGGGATCATGGGTACTTGGTGGTACGTTGTTGCTGTTTTTTTGTTGTTGATAAAGGGGAGGACAATGTGGACTATTCACTCAAACATATAAATTGTGTTTTGATAACACAAGCGTTGTTATATAACAGTTTGGATTCATGGGTACTTGGTGGTATTTTGTTGTTGTTTTTGTTGTTAAAGGGGAAGTGTGCACGGAATAATCACCTTTTTTTCTTATGTGAAACAAATGGAATTTTTAATTGGCTAACACAAATACTTGAAAATATACGTTTTCTTACAATATAAGCGCCTATATAATGATACAGCAAGGATATATACGGTTAGTTTGCTTTATGACACTACAACATGTGGTAATTTTATTACTGTTGATCTATACTACCCATCAAAAGTTTAGACTCACTTAAAGCATTCACTATAAGTTATGTATATATACACTAAACGCCAAAAGAAACGTTACCCTCCTACTTTTTAGGAATTACTGAAAAACTATCAAAGATATCTTGGAAGGCATTAGTTTACAAGAAAGCTGAACAACACAGCTTTATGCAAATCACGAAAAAATTGTCTCAAATGCATTCATATTTAGGTGAAATGCATCTTTTTTCAGAAGAATTAAACTGTCCTATATTCGTCCATGCCGAAATAAACCAATAACAGCGATTTAGATGTCCGAAAGAAAGGTTGAAATAAAATTCTGCTTTGAGACAAAGATAAACCATTTATAGTCACCATT